AAAAAAAAAAAAAAAAAGAAATGAGTATAATTGTGATGGATGTGTTACTTAGTTCAATGTAAGCATTTCACATATATCAAATCAGTACGTTAACCCCATAAATGCATCAATGTACAAAGTTATTTAATAAAAACAAACAAAAAAATAAAGATCTGTTTAGACCATTTGCTTCCTAAAGAGCTGTACAGTGAATTGCAACATCTGTAACAAAACTCTCAAATATTTGTAGCCAAGTAGATGTGTTTTGACTGAAGTAACAATGTGACAGTGTGTGACCAGGTAATCTAGTTTTCCTTACAAATCTTACAAAGAAGTTGTATCGAGAACAAAATACAAAGCGAGACATTTTTTGTGATATGTATTTAATTCATATAATATTTCACTTATAGTATTAATTGAACCTATACTGTTGTTTGCAACGAGGCATACTTTATTATACTTTAAAGGAAAAAAAACAAAAAAAAATAAAACTTCAAAGGAGTGCTGTAGAGGCTTAAAAATAAACAACATAGCATCCCATAAGCTCAAAAAAGAAGATAACCACTGAGAAAATGAGGAAAATACAGCTTTTCTTGGAATTCCAGGCTGGCGATGGGGGCCTGCTGGGCACAAAGCCAGGAGTGGGCCAGGTATGGGGTGTGGGTCCAGGCTGAGGGCAGAGGCAGAGGCTCATGCTCTGTTAAGCCAGAGGTGTTGTGTCTGCCTGTTTGGCCAGCGAGAGTTCAAGGCCAGCCCCCTGGAGTAGGTGCTCAGCACCAGTACACGCTCTCTCCCAGTTTCTTAGGGTTCACTGGTTACCAGGTGGGTACCCAGGTTACTCTCTAAACCAGCAACACAGGAAGCTCTTGGCAGACTATGAGCAGCCCACAGAAAGGAAGGAAAAGGCGAGTGTCGGGTGTCCAGAAGGTCAGGTCCAAGGCTGCTCAGGGATCAGGATTGGTGGGAGTCAAACAGCACCAACTGTGTATCAGTCTCTCAATAGACAACATCGTCATTGGCTTAGCCTGGGTCATGGCATGGAGGAGGAGGGGACACCCTGGCTGCTTGGAAGTGGAGGTGCCAAGAAGAACAGAGATGGCCTGCCTAGCAAAATCCACGGTGCTGGCTCCATCCCACCAGTGGCAGCGGGTGCCACACTGGCCGAGGCGACTAGCCCAGGGCCACAAAGCAGCTGCTTCTCAAGTCATCTGCATGAGAAAATCATGGAGACAAGGAATCTTGGAATCGGAGGCCCCAAGAGACCCTCAGCAAGAGCTCCAATAGCTGATTTGTCAGGGTCACCACAGCAAGTGGGGAGTGCGAAGGCCTGGGGGAGGCAGGGAACCCTCCGGGTTGCCACCTGAGCCTTCAGCCCTGAAGAGATGCTGAGCACTGGGCAGGTGCGTGCAGAGCTGAGACCCCTCACCAAGGCTGCCTCCCTCTCTGGTAACTGGCACCAAGGGGTCTCTCCAGGAAGCATCGAATGATTCGGTGCAGTGGAGGACAGAGTGGGTGGGTAGCGTCTATCACCTGCAGCCCATGGGCCAGTGGGCTACTCAACCCCTCTCACCCTTCAGGGAGCCTGCATGCCTCTTCCTTAGCCTTCCTTCCCTTGGCAGGGGTGCTCAAGGAGCCCTGCCAGCCCCCAGGGCCCTTCTACTGAGGCAGCCAAGGAGGGGCAAGGAAAGACGTGGCCAGGAGGTGGCCCTGCGCCAGGCGGGCTACGGTCATTTTCTCTAGCCACTTGTTTCCCTGCTGCCTGTATGTTTCTCTCCCACCATCATGGCCCCGATCCCCGATTTCATGAGCTCTACTTAGCATTAAAAAACTAGAGGTGAGGGTGGCCCCTGTGGCTCAGTGGGTAGGGCGCTGGCTCCATATACCGAGGGTGGCAGGTTC